ACAACAGCGTATGGGTACTGTCTCGCTGAGACTTTCGCCACATGTCAGGGACGCGTCCGGGGTCGAGAGGGCCCGGGGGTAATGTCCGGCACTGAGGCCGTTGTGGGGTGTGGAGCGGGCGTGCGTACTGGCGGGCCCGATCCAGGACAATGGTCCCTGGCCACTCAGACTGAAGTGGAGAATGTGAGAAGAAGGTTACTTCTTTGGTTCCCACTTCAGGTACATTTATGTACATGCAGCTTGAGTCACATGACGAGTGCCACGTCATCCTCGGAGACAGCCGCAGGCATCCAGGTGTCCCTGTGGGGGATCCCAAGAGCGTCCGCTGCATGTGCGCATGCTGGGCACAGTGGGAAGCCGTCCGGGGTGTGTGGGCCGGACAGGTCAATAGTACATCAATACAAAGGAAGGTGGTCCGTGTAGATAGAAGGAAATAAACAGGAAGAGGAAGATGAGAAGAATGAAATACAGAAAGGGGAAGGAAGAGGGAAAAGAAAGGGGAAGAGAGGGAGGAAGGAGGAGGGAGAGGGATGGACAGTGGGGAGCGGGTGTGGTGTGGCTGGGTGGGTCCAGGTGGACCCGGGTCAGGCGGGTGTGCCCTGACACCACACTCCTAACCACTCTGGCCTAACAGAAAACAGCATCTAGCCGAATGCAGGGGTGATGGCGAACTCAACCATCAGCGGACTGAGGAGAGCTGGATGCCAGCAGGGAAAACCCATAAGGAAATCCAACCATGATGTGACCAGCGGCGCACTAAGCGTCTCCAGCGATCAACAGTTAGAGATCCAGGTGAACACCCAGTGTCATATCCGTACAATCCCAACCTCCGCTCCGGGCTCCTGGAACTCCAAACCTGATTTCCAGAGTCCTACCCTACCGCTGTCCATTCTGATATTCACCTTCGGACCCGACACCACACCTCCCCTCACCCCTCATGCCACCTCCACCCTCCCATCCTTCTCCTACCCTATCTCTGTCCGCTCCGATACTCATCTCGGACCGAACATCACCCCTTCCGTCACCTCCTCCTTGCCGACTTCCAAGAGGTTATCCCACCTCCGGCTCCAACACCACCTTCGGTCTGACTCCGGAACATTCCGGGCCCGACCTCATCCTCGACACCTTCCAGACAAGCACACAACACCTATGCTCCCGACTCCGGACCTCCGCTCCGGAATCCCGGTTGTGTCTCCATCTCCGGAACCTCTGGTCTTAGCTCCGACCTCAGACTTTGACCCCACCTCTGCTTATACCCATTGTATTGGTTAGCTCATTCCATTTAATTACATTTGCCAATATTCCGGAGTTTAACTTCCAAGTTCGGACTTTCCGGACTTACGTCGGACCTTGCAACTATTGCATTGCTCCATCCAATTCCGCTATTCTCCCTCATTCCTATTTGGGCTGCTTCCTTTCTATTCAGTCAGCTGGACATTCCCCACTCCCACCCTCCTTCCTTCCTCCTTGGTGTCAGGGATCGACCCCTGACCCTGCTGTCAGGGCACCCAACCACACCCCAGAACCACCTTCCCAGACTTCCCCCACTTCCCAGACCTCCCCATCCCTACATACCTCTCACAACTTCAGCCCGCATGTGAGCCCGCGGGAAAAATCACGTGGGTTAAGGCAAGCAACTCGCCTTAACCCATGTGACACCTTTTCCGAGTCGCGGGAACATGCTCGGCTTCTACCCGGAGTCACGTTATGAACTGTACAGTACACTTCCTTTTTATAGTAGCCAAGTGGGGAATAGGGAAACTTACCCTTCTTCTCAACTCAATCCCCGCTTAGGCAAGTTGTAGTTACCCTCTGTAATACATGACAACTCAATCCCCGCTTAGTCCCTTCAGTGAGTTTGAGGAGCTGAGGACAGGGTCTAGCACCCAACCACCCGGGACACCGCACACACCTAGGACTGAGGTCAGGCTGTCCCTGATCGAGGACCGAGCCCTGACACTTGGGCCTTGGCCCTTCATTCCTCCTTTGAGAAACACCATTGAGTCAAACCCTTGACCCTCGGTGTTGTTCCTCTTTCCATCTCCCTTTGTCTCCTTTCATCCTACCCTTGTTCCTTTTGATTCCGGACCCCTCCTTATATACAATGTACCTAGTAACTTGTAACCTCAGTCCAAAATCGACCTGAAATGCCCCCAAGAGACTTTCCCTCTGCTAGATCCGAAATTAGGGACCCCCAGGACAACCAGCAATGGCACAGCGCTCTGCCTGAGTCACTGAGGCCGAGGTCCTTCCACGCTAAGTCTCCAATTCCACTCCGGAGTCATCCGAATCCGCCCGTTTCTAACACACACACCGCATATCCTCCATCCATTCCATATGGTAAGCCTGCATTAGTGTTACAGATATAGAGTCTCCAACAACCATATCCATTGCATTGTCAAAGACCTCCCCTTCTATCACACACACACACTCTCACTCTCTCTCCCGATACCCTACTATCCTCTGCCATTCTATCCCATTCCCCCCCCTTGTGCAAAGCTTTCCCCATCGGGGTTTTGGTGCTGGCCGAGGTTGTTTGCATTTCGTGGGATTTCCCACGACCATTTCATTTGTAGATAGTCACACATCATGTATGGAAACCACTGGAGGCGGTTCCCGCTAACTACTACAACTTGCTACAAACTACCTTGTGCATTGTCCCTTGTAACAACCCCCTTTTGTGACTCAGCTGAACCTGTGTGTGTGTACAACTCTCAACATGTCCTATATGTCTAGTTACATCAAGTCATCTGGCAGTTCTCACTGTGAGAACTCGAAGTCGTGAGTCGAAGCCTCGCAGCTTGTGTATCATCCATTGGAACCTGTGTCCTACAGGACGTCATCACCTAGCTCTCCCTCCAGCGCCTGATGGATGACATCATACTATAATATTAGGGATCATGACTGCTCTGAGGTTCATATTCATGTGATGCCGGCACACTTGTTACATGAGCGCCAAGTAGCTGCCCATCAACCATCTAGTTTCTCCCTTGCCAGTCATCGCACCTCACCGCCATTGGTATGTTCCCTTTGGGAATGCCAAGTCACTGAAGGCCCCACTAGTCACTCCTTACTGGACACTCATGATAATAACCCGCTACCGGTACATTCGTACTATGAATGCCAAATAACCAATAGCAATGATATGAGATCTTCACACATCGTACAAGTCATGACCATGCACATGGCACGCTCCACTGAGGAGCACCAAGTACCTGTGGCTGACCTATCTATCCTGGCATCTCCAACTACATGCAATCAAACCCTTAATAGCTCACTCCATCATGAACCATGATTGTCTACTCTTATACATGACTGGGAACACCCATCGATTACACATTCTGTTAAGGTACAAATGAGATCTTATGATCGTCTTCCAACTATAAGAACGGGTCAAGAAGGGAGAAGTTCTCCCCATCCTTGTAACAATTAGATCCAAAAGCAGGTGTGTATAGTTCTTGTTACCACCCCCATGCATATGGCATAGGAGTGTCGGGACTGTGTTCATCATCCAGCCAACGTCACCACTCTGGATTGCATCACACAGCTCATAATACAGAAGGGCATCCCTCATGAAAGAACAGCACCCTGGGTGGCAGATTTTCCCCCAGTTCTGCAAAGAGCTGACTCTATGTGTGAAAGTGCATATGGTTCCATGACCAACTCCAATGTGTCAGGGGATGACTCCTGGGTCCCCATGACCCTCCCCTATGGCCCACAGCCTCGGGTCTGGCCAGCCCTATCCAGGGCACAATCTACTGTGGGTAAGGAGATGAATAGATAAAGGCAATGTAGAATACACTTGCCTACTGTGGGTAAGGAGATGAGAAGGAAGCTAACTTCTCATCTTCCCACAGTGGCCACAATATCAGCAAAACTTCCGGGGATACCCGGAAGTCACATGAAGGGGTAGGAACCGGGTCCGGAGCATGCGGCGCGCAGAGCGTGCGCGTGTGCGGGAAGTGCGGCGGGTGGAAGCGGGTCCGGACGCAGGTCCGGGTCTGGGCTAGTCAGGGTGTGTGCCCTGACACAATGCTGGTGATGCCAGCATTGGCCAACCCAATCCTAACCAGATTGATGTTTCTAGAACGTCTCTATGGCCTGCTGATCCCCTAGACATGTCTGGAACTCCATCACTCCACTCCCTGCAGCTAATGATGGCCCAAATGATGGTGGAGATTACCCAGGACACGTGTAAGGGGTTGGTGTAGGTGCCAACCCTGGTTAGCCTAGTTCCTCAGGCTGCCAACAAAAGTAACTTGTATGAAGTTATTATTTGCAACAGTATGGGAGGAAAGGCTAAGTTGCTCTTTCCACTTTCCCACACTATTGTATGTACTTTGTATATACATGTTTATTACAAGACAATTATACAATTATGTAATGGGAAATAAGGGGTGGGGTTACTGTCAGGGCTGCAGGTTAACGATTATGATCTGACAGATTCCAAAGTGGAAAGGAGTCGGATAAGGGTTACCTGAGCAGCAAAAAGGGTGAGAGAAGAAGATTACTTCTCTCCCTGCTGCCAGGTGGTAAATAAGGGGCAGTTAAGCAGGGATTACAGGGATACGGCATGAGGCCCAAGGATATGGGACATGGGAGTGGGGGCTGTGTAGATAGGCTGACATACAAACAATGACATGAGGCAAGGACCTCTGACAAATAAGAAATGACTCAGCTCATGAGAGAGGTAAAAAGGAAGTGATAAATGAGAATGAATGGAATAAATGGCAGAGAACTGCAGTACTCTGACAGTTACCACTCCTTACAACACGGTAGCCTGGTGAAAACGGGAGGCTGAAAGAGCCAATGACTGGTTGATGAAAGCCCAGCTGTCTGGGTCTCAAACAGCTGGGTTTGAGTCTCCATACTATCAGCTGCTTGTATCTCAAGCAGCTGACTGTGCTGCTGCAGTGGCCAGTGCTGAGTGCAGACTTGCCACTGCACTGGAAGAACGACTAAATTGTCGTTCGCATGCATCCCAGAATGCGTGAGCCTCTATGGAGCCGTCTCAGCCCCATCCCATCCCCCCTCAACCGGTTTTAGACCAGGTTGAGAGCAGTCCAGCACCTGCAGACTGCAAACTCGCAGAAGTGTGTAGCGCTTCTGCGAGTCCTGAGCCATTACAGGCTCATACTGCCATTGCCGGGTCTGGAACCATCCCAGACCTGATCCAATGCCATTCTCAACTGGTTTTAGACCAGGTTGAGAACAGTCCAGCACCTGTGGACTGCAATCTCACAGAAACGCACAGCGCTTCAGCAAATCCTGAGCCATCACAGGCTCATACCATCATTCTCGGGTCCGGATCCATCCCAGACCCGACCCAATCCACTCTCCCACCCACTGGGCTCCCTTTCCCAGAGCCCTGGAGGGAGTTTGAGTCCCTGGAGAACTAAGCACTTGCCATTCTAGCAAGTGCGATCTTCCTTAAGCCCAGTAGAAATACTGGGCTACACCACTTGAGATTGGCTGATACAGCTGATCAACTCCCTTCATATCTGAAGGGAGATCACGATTCGAAAGACAGGATCAAATCCTGATCTTTTCCCCAGATCCTGCAGACTGTTCCTGTCAGAGACAGGATCTGGGATGAAGACGATGTCACTTCAGCCTCAGCGACTAAACCAGGAGTGCTGTGCCTAGTTACATGTCCATGCCTAATTTACTGACTGGCAAGGAATACTAGAAGAGTGTCAGGGGATGACTCCCGGGTCCCCATGACCCTCCCCTATGGTCCACAGCCCTGTGGTGTAACCAGCCCTATCCAGGGCACAACCTACTGTGGGTAAGAAGATGAGAAGGAAGCTAACTTCTCATCTTCCCACAGTGGCCACCATATCAGGAAAACTTCCGGGATACCCAGAAGTCACATGAAGGGATAGGAACCGGGCCCAGAGCATGCAGTGTGCAGAGCATGCACGCGTGCAGGAAGCAGGGTGGGTGGAAGCGGGTCCAGACGCGGGTCCGGGTCGGGGCTAGTCAGGGTGTGTGCCCTGACAAAGAGGGGAAACTCTAGTCGATTTTATCACTAAGGTGTAACCTATCTACAAGTTATGTATATATAGTTACATAGAGGACAGGCCTGTCAATGGTGGGGCCAAGTGGAGCGGAGCTAATGGAGTTACAGGTTAGCGGAGTGATGGGCTATAACCCAGAAACGGAAAGGAAGGATCGGCCCAAAGGTAGACTTGCAGGGCAAGCAACTAAATTGCCCAGCGGAGGTGGGGGTGCGCTAGCAGACATTGGAGCTGTCCAGAGGCCTTCAGGGCTCTGTACTTAGGGAGGCATAGGTAATATATTGAATTGAGGGGGTGGTGACCATTGGGGGAGTCGGAGGGAATTGCGGAATCCAGAGGCTCCAAGGTTAGTGACGAAGGAGCAGAGGTAATCTGGAAGGACTGGAGGTGGTGGAGGGTGATGGATATGACAGTGTCAGGGACGGTACAGGAGAGGTGGGGGTAGCGGCCCAGGTGGCAGCAGAGTAATGGGAATGTATGGTGAGGGGCCCTCACTCGGGCTCGCGTCCCTGTCTGGCTCCTTAGGCTGAAGCAGTAGTGATTGTTATTAGGATGAAAGGCTAAACTAAACTAAACTAAGCTAGAGTAAGATACTTGCCTGAAGCAGTAGTGAGAAGAAGGCTACTTCTTCAGTTCTGCTTCGGCTCAGTTTATATACAGGTGGGAATGGGTCATGTGGGGGGTGCCACGTCAGCCCAGGTGGAGCCAGGCTATCGCAGATGGCTCCACAGGCGATCCCGAGTGTCAGAGGAGAGAAGTACAAATGAGGATGCACAGCATATCCAGCAGTGCAGTACCCACACAGAGTACTTGGCATTGGATGCATCCATGCTACATGGGTAAGAGGAGAGGTCGTCTGTATAAAGAAAGAAAGGAAAGAAGAGAGGGAAAGAAGGAAGACAAATGAGAAAGGGAAAGAGGAGCAATGGGAGGGTGCAGCACGGAGCGGAGCAGCATGCCCTGACATCTCCCCCTCCTTAAGCCGCTTCGCCTCGAAGTGCCTAGGGGGTTTTCTCACTCTCTGCCCAGGGCGTCTGGGTGTGCTCTGTGGAACTCCTCGATCCAGTCGTGCATGTTGGCCAGGTTGTCATGGGGGAGCCACTCGTTTTTGGAGTTTGGCCAGCCCGTGAACTTCACCAGATACCAGAGCTTTCTGCGGTGCCAGCAGGAGTTGAGGACCTTCTTGACTTCGTACTCTTCTCCTCTGTCTACGATTTCGGGGCCTGGGCGGGGGTCGGCAGGTTGTTTGGCGATCCCATCTGGGTGGTAGGGCTGGACGTTCGTTACCGATACCACTGGGTGGACTCCCCTTTGTTGCACTGTGAGCTGGAGTTTGATGGCAGCAGGGGATACGACCTTGAGGATTTTGAAGGGGCCGGTCCATTTGTGGTCTAGCTTCTTGGTAGGGCAGTCCGTGGTGTAGTTTTGGGTGCTGAGCCAGACTTGACCACCTTCTTTGTACTCGGGTGCTACTTCTCAGTTTCGGTTGTAGTAGTGGGCCATCTCTTCCGCTGCATGCTCTAGCGCCACCTTCGCCTCTTCCTGCATTTTCATCAGTCTCGAGGTGAACGTGTCTGCGGCTTCGACTTCTGATGCACGAGTGGGTTCCATCCCCATCCTGGGGTGTTGGCCTGTGTCGAGCTCAAATGGGGTGTGGCCGGTTGAGGTGTGGATGCGGTTATTATGGGAGAACTCCGCTAGCAGGAGCCAGTCCGCCCAGTCATCCTGGCAGTGGTTGACAAACACTCGGAGGTAGGCTTCTATCTCCTGGTTCACCCGCTCCATCTGTCCATCCGTCTGTGGGTGGTAAGGCGCTGAAGGGGTCAGCTTGACCGCTAGTAGGGCCGCTAGCTCTTTGGAGAACTGAGAGACAAAGGCACTCCCTCTGTCGCTGAGAATCTCCTCAGGAGCCCATGATGCTTCCAGACATGTTCAAGGAAGAGTTGGGCAATCCCAGCCGAGTCTACCATCGTGACTGTAGGGATTGTGTGGATGCGCTTAGAGAGGCAGTCCACCACCACTAGGATGGCATTGTAGCCCTTTGACTTGGGGAGTTCTCTGATCATATCCACAGAGATTACCTGCCAGCGGCAGGTGGGGATCTTGTTTGGCATGAGCTTCCCCACCTTCTGCGAGGGGAATGACTTGACTCAATTGCAGGCGTTGCACCCCACCATGTAGTGGCCTACATACTCCGCCATCTGGGGCCACCAGTAGTTGCAGGAGACGAGCTCCAGGGTTTTCCATCGCCCCAGGTGTCCCTTCGCCCAGGCATCATGGTGTAGCCGCACCAGGTCGTGGCAGAGTTGCAGGTCCTTCGGGACATATACCTTTCCCCAGTAGAGGACCAACTCTCCATCTCTGCTCCATTCATCTGTCCTGAGGGTTCCATCTCCCAGCTCCTTCAGCGCTTTCACTACCTTCTCATCACAGTCTTTTGCTGTGCGTATTCTTTCCAGGATGGCTGCCTCTTCTCCCTCCACTGTGATGGCCTCGGTTGTGTGGGCTTTAAACCATTCTGGCTGTAGGAGGGTCAGGCTGTCGTTGTCATCCCTTCCCTTTGGGTGGCCGGCACAGCGGGAGAGGGCGTCCGGTTTCCCCATAAGTTTCTCTGGTCAGTGGATGAGGGTGAAGTGGAAGCAGGACAGGAATAGTGACCACCATGCTTGGCAGCGATTCAGCCTCTGCACGGTGTGGAAGTAGCCTAGATTGTGGTGGTCCATGTAGATATCGACCTTCTCCTCAGCCCCTTCTACGAAGTGACGCCACTCTTCTAGCGCTTGGACTATCATGAGCATTTCTCTGTCGTAGATTTCGTAGTTGCATTCTACTTTGGTGAAGCTCTTGGACATGAAGGTGATAGGGTGGAACTCGCCATCAGTTTGGAGCTGGGACAGGATGGTGCCAGTGGCAAAGTTGGAGGCGTCGCATTCAAGTTTGTAGTGGCCGGAGTCAGCGGGAAAAGCAAGGACGGGGGCGGAGGTGACGGTGGCCTTGAGGGTGCCAAAGGCATGCTCTTCATTCTCCCCCCATGTCCAGACCTTTGCTTTGTGGGTCAGGGTGTGGAGTGGCTGTGCCATCTCAGAGAAGTCCTTGATGAAGCGATGGTAGAAGTTTACTAAGCCCAGGAAGGATTGTACCTCCTTCACCTTCGTCAGCGTTGGCCAGTCAAGGACCCCTTGGACCTTCACTGGGTTCATGGCAACACTACCCTCAGAGATGACAAGCCCAAGGTATTTGATGTGGCACCGCTCAAACTTGCACTTTTCCGGTTTGAGGAAGAGCTTCCTCCTTCGCAGTGTTTCCAGCACTTCCCGCACAACCTTCCGATGTTCCTCTAGGGTGGACGTGAAGATCAGGATGTTGTCCATGTAGCAGATAACAACCTCTCGGTCAATGAAGTCCCGGAGGATGTCGTTCATCATGGTCTGGAAGGTTGCTGGGGAGTTGCATAGCCGAAGAACATCACCATGGATTCAAACAAGCCCCAGTTGGTTGCAAACACCGCTTTCCACTCATCGCTGTCTTTGATCCATACGTTGTTGAACCCCAAGTGCAGATCTAGCACCGAGAAATATTTTGTGTTTCGAAGGCGCACGAGGACGTCAGAAATGAGTGGGAGGGGGTATGAGTTCTTGACCATTATTTTGTTGAGCTTTCAGTAATCCTGGACCAGGCACAGGGACCCATCCTTCTTCTTGATGAAGAATAGGGGGGTGCCCATCGGTGACTTTGACAGGTGTATGTGCCCATTCCGCAGGTTCTCATGTAGGAACTCATCCAGCTCTTTCTGTTCCGGTCGGGATAGGGGGAAGGTTTTGCCTCTAGGAAGTTTGGCATCTGGGGTTAGATCAATAGCATGGTCCCAGGGCTTTCGGGGGGGGCAGCACATCGAAGGCTTCCTTCGAGAATACATCCCGGAAGTCCCTGTAGTGCTTGGGCACCAGCTCTTCCAGTGTCAGCAGTTTCGCCTCCGCATCTTGGGCTTCCTCTGCTAGGCATTGGGACAGCATGGTTGTCACCCTTAGGTCATGCCCCCATTCTGGCGGGATTATGGCAGCGTAGATCCCATCCCCAGGCTCCACTTCAGGGGTCTGCTCAGTGGTTGTTTGTGGTGACCAGCAGGAGGAGGGGCAATGGGACATGATGACCTTCTGCCGTGCCCAGTCAACCTCTGGGTTATGGTGTAGCAGCCACGGGTGCCCGATGATAAGGGACTGCTGCCATAGGTTTGCCACGGTGAAGCGGGCCCACTCCATGTGTTGGCCAAATGTCAGCAGGGCTTCCAGCTCTTCAGTGATGGCCCCATTCTCATTTGGCGTTCCATCTACATTGTGCACTGGGATGGGCTGGGGGAGCGGGGTTGTCTTGAGCCCATG